TGGCATGCTCCACACCCCGATCAGATTTTGGAAGGCACTTCAGATTCTTAAACCTTGTGTCGAGTGCTGTATCCATCCTTAGAAATCTCACATTGGTACCTTCTTCGCATTTTGTCAAATCTGCAGTGAAAGTGTTCTTAAAATGAACATGTGCTAGGTCATAATCCAAGACTGCTATAACATGAAATATACAGCAGAATGCAGGTAAAACAGGGATGGGGACATACAATTCTTCCCCAAGGAGTTCAGTCACAAATTTAACTAATGCATTATTTATTTAACGAGCGTCATCAGCATGGAAGCATGTCCTCTGGAATGGTAGCCAAAGCATGAAGGGGCATATGAAATGTTTAGCATATCTGGCACATAAATACCTTTTAATGCCAGCTACAAAAGTGCCATGCAAATGCCTGTTCTCACTTTCAGATCATAGAATCATAGAATATCAGGGTTGGAAGGGACCTCAGGAGGTCATCTAGTCCAAACCCTGCTCAAAGCAGGACCAATCCCCAATTAAATCATCCCAGCCAGGGCTTTGTCAAGCCTGACCTTAAAAACTTCTAAGGAAGGAGATTCTACCACCTCCCTAGGCAATGCATTCCAGTGTTTCACCACCCTCCTAGTGAAAAAGTTTTTCCTAATATCCAACCTAAACCTCACCCACTGCAACTTGAGACCATTACTCCTTGTCCTGTCCTCTTCTACCACTGAGAATAGTCTAGAACCATCCTCTCTGGAACCACCTCTCTGGTAGTTGAAAGCAGCTATCAAATCCCCCCTCATTCTTCTCTTCTGCAGGCTAAACAATCCCAGCTCCCTCAGCCTCTCCTCATAAGTCATGTGTTCCAGACCCCTAATCATTTTTGTTGCCCTTCGCTGGACTCTCTCCAATTTATCCACATCCTTCTTGTCGTGTGAGGCCCAAAACTGGACACAGTACTCCAGATGAGGCCTCACCAATGTCGAATAGAGGGGAACGATCACGTCCCTCGATCTGCTCGCTATGCCTCTACTTATACATCCCAAAATGCCATTGGCCTTCTTGGCAACAAGGGCACACTGCTGACTCATATCCAGCTTCTCGTCCACTGTCACCCCTAGGTCCTTTTCCGCAGAACTGCTGCCTAGCCATTCGGTCCCTAGTCTGTAGCGGTGCATTGGGTTCTTCCGTCCTAAGTGCAGGACCCTGCACTTATCCTTATTGAACCTCATCAGATTTCTTTTGGCCCAATCCTCCAATTTGTCTAGGTCCCTCTGTATCCTATCCCTGCCCTCCAGCGTATCTACCACTCCTCCCAGTTTAGTATCATCTGCAAATTTGCTGAGAGTGCAATCCACACCATCCTCCAGATCATTTATGAAGATATTGAACAAAACCGGCCCCAGGACCGACCCCTGGGGCACTCCACTTGACACCGGCTGTCAACTAGACATGGAGCCATTGATCACTACCCGTTGAGCCCAACAATCTAGCCAACTTTCTACCCACCTTATAGTGCATTCATCCAGCCCATACTTCCTTAACTTGCTGACAAGAATACTGTGGGAGACCGTGTCAAAAGCTTTGCTAAAGTCAAGAAACAATACATCCACTGCTTTCCCTTCATCCACAGAACCAGTAATCTCATCATAAAAGGCGATTAGATTAGTCAGGCATGACCTTCCCTTGGTGAATCCATGCTGACTGTTCCTGATCACTTTCCTCTCATGTAAGTGCTTCAGGATTGATTCTTTGAGGACCTGCTCCATGATTTTTCCAGGGACTGAGGTGAGGCTGACTGGCCTGTAGTTCCCAGGATCCTCCTTCTTCTCTTTTTTAAAGATTGGCACTACATTAGCCTTTTTCCAGTCATCCGGGACTTCCCCCGTTCGCCACGAGTTTTCAAAGATAATGGCCAATGGCTCTGCAATCACAGCCGCCAATTCCTTTAGCACTCTCGGATGCAACTCGTCCGGCCCCATGGACTTGTGCACGTCCAGCTTTTCTAAATAGTCCCTAACCACCTCTTTCTCCACAGAGGGCTGGCCATCTATTCCCCATGTTGTGATGCCCAGCGCAGCAGTCTGGGAGCTGACCTTGTTAGTGAAGACAGAGGCAAAAAAAGCATTGAGTACATTAGCTTTTTCCACATCTTCTGTCACTAGGTTGCCTCCCTCATTCATTAAGGGGCCCACACTTTCCTTGGCTTTCTTCTTGTTGCCAACATACCTGAAGAAACCCTTCTTGTTACTCTTGACATCTCTGGCTAGCTGCAGCTCCAGGTGCGATTTGGCCCTCCTGATTTCATTCCTACATGCCCGAGCAATATTTTCATACTCTCCCCTGGTCATATGTCCAACCTTCCACTTCTTGTACGCTTCTTTTTTATGTTTAAGATCCGCTAGGATTTCACCGTTAAGCCAAGCTGGTTGCCTGCCATATTTACTATTCTTTCGACTCATCGGGATGGTTTGTCCCTGTAACCTCAACAGGGATTCCTTGAAATACAGCCAGCTCTCCTGGACTCCTTTCCCCTTCATGTTAGTCCCCCAGGGGATCCTACCCATCCGTTCCCTGAGGGAGTCGAAGTCTGCTTTCCTGAAGTCCAGGGTCCGTATCCTGCTGCTTACCTTTCTTCCCTGTGTCAGGATCCTGAACTCAACCAACTCATGGTCACTGCCTCCCAGATTCCCATCCACTTTTGCTTCCCCTACTAATTCTTCCCAGTTTGTGAGCAGCAGGTCAAGAAAAGCTCCCCCCCCCAGTTGGCTCCTCTAGCACTTGCACCAGGAAATTGTCCCCTACGCTTTCCAAAAACTTCCTGGATTGTCTATGCACCGCTCTATTGCTCTCCCAGCAGATATCAGGAAAATTAAAGTCACCCATGAGAACAAGGGCATGCAATCTAGTAGCTTCTGCGAGTTGCCGGAAGAAAGCCTCATCCACCTCATCCCTCTGGTCCGGTGGTCTATAGCAGACTCCCACCATTACATCACTCTTGTTGCTCACACTTCTAAACTTAATCCAGAGACACTCAGGTTTTTCTGCAGTTTCATACCGGAGCTCTGAGCAGTCATACTGCTCCCTTACATACAGTGCTACTCCCCCACCTTTTCTGCCCTGCCTGTCCTTCCTGAACAGTTTATAACCATCCATGGCAGTACTCCAGTCATGTGAGTTATCCCACCAAGTCACTTTACAAGATGACATTGTAAATATGAAGAGGGCAGCATTATCTCCGGTAAATGTAAACAAACTTATTTATCTGACAGGTTTCAGAGTGGTAGTTGTGTTAGTCTATACCAGCAAAAAGAACGTGGAGTACTTGTTGCACCTTAGAGACTGAGGGCATAGCTACACTTGCAGATGTAGAACGCTTTGAGTTAAACCTGCCTTTGGAGAGCGCAGTAAGGAAAGCGCTGCAGTCTGTCCACGCTGACAGGAACAATCACACGGGTGTGGCCACATTTGCAGCACTTGCAGCGGTGCATTGTGGGCAGCTATCCCACAGAGCACCTCTTCCCATTCTGGCGCTGTGGCTTGTGGGATGGGTAGTCTTTCTTTTCAGTCTGCGGGAATGGAACCCGAACTGCTGAGGAGTATGCTAACGAGTCTCACCAGCACGTCACGTTTGGCAGTCGAGTTATTCCTTATGATCCAAAGTGACAGTGAGGACTCCGATGATGATATTGACTAGAGTAATGCATATGACATGAGTTTGCTTGTGGCATTCACGGACTTGCTTACCACTGTGGAATGCCGGTTTTGGGCTCAGGAAACAAGCACTGAGTGGTGGAATCACATCGTCATTCAAGTCTGGGATGACGAGCAGTGACTGCAGAACTTTCAGATAAGAAAAGCCACTTTCATGGGACTGTGTGAGGAGCTTGCCCCCACCCTGCGGTGCAAGGACACGAGATTGAGAGCTGCCCTGATGGTGGAGAAGCGGGTGGCTATTGCAATCTGGAAGCTGGCAACTCCAGACAGCGACCGATCGGTCGCTAACCAGTTTGGAGTGGGGAATTTGACCATTGGAATCATGTTGATGCAAGTTTGCAGGGCCATTAATCACATCCTGCTCAGAAGAACTGTGACTCCAAGTAACGTGCATGACATTGTGGATGGCTTTGCACAAATGGGTTTCCCTAACTGCAGAGGGGTGATAGATGGCACGCATATTCCAATTCTGGCACCAGCCCACCTAGCCTCCGAGTACATTAATCGGAAGGGGTATTTCTCAATGGTTCTCCAGGCGCTTGTGGATCACCATGGGCATTTCATTGACATTAACGCAGGCTGGCCCAGAAAGGTGCATGACGCACGCATCTTTCAGAACACAGGCCTGTTCAGGAAGCTGCAAGTCGGGACTTTTTTCCCAGATCAGAAGATCACCCTAGGGGAAGTCGAAATGCCCATCGTGATCCTTGGAGACCCCTCTTGCCCTTTAATGCCATGGCTCATAAAACCCTACACAGGGAGCCTTTACAGCAGCAAGGAGTGGTTCAACAGGCTGAGCCGGTGCAGAATGACTGTGGAGTGAGCTTTTGGCCGTTTAAAGGGCCACTAGCTCTCTCTGTATGGGAAGCTGGACCTGGCCGATGACAGCATCCCCGCGGTTATATCTGCGTGCTGTACCCTCCATAACATTTGTGAAGGGAAGGGTGAATGATTCACTCAGGCATGGAACTCAGAGGTTCAACACCTGGAGACTGAATCTGAACAGCCGGAGAGAGAGCTATTAGAGGGGCCCAGCACGGGGCTGCAAGGATTAGGGATGCCTTGAGGGAGCAATTTGAGGCTGAAAGCCACCAGTAATGTCTGGTGCCCTGCACGGGAATGAAGTGCAGTGGTTCCAATGTTAGTAGGAATCTGTGTTTGCTACCCTGACTTGCAGAGCCTGCTTCTTTCCTGGGCTAAAGTATCTTTTACTTTATGCAATAATAAAGAATGTTTTCAAAGGCAAAAAATCCATTTATTGAAAAGCAAATGCATTTATTGAAAAGAAACACAACTGCTTGGGAAACAGAAAGGGCAAGGGAGTGGGGTGGGGAACGGTACAATCACAGATTTGCCTATGTCCTGTTATCATAGTCAGCCTTCCTGTCTGGAGTGCTGTGCAATGAGTGCTGCACTTCAGGATGGCTATACTGCATGGTGATGGGGGTTGACTGCAGTGGGTAAGGGTTGTAGTTTTCAGGGCTGGGTGGTGAAGCTACAGGTGTTGGAGGCAGCTGGTGGTGGTAAGAACCTGGATGTTGGGGAAAATGGGTTGGAGGTGATATGGGGGCACAAGGGAAAGAGTTTTGGGACAAGGGCTACGGGGGGGTCGGACACAGTAGTGCTCTGCCTACATGGCGACGAGCACCTGGATCAAGTCCGCTTGGCGCTCCATTATGCCTATCAGCCGCTCCGTGCTTTGCTGTTGGAGCACCGCGCTTTTGTGCCTGAGCTCCTCATTCTGCTGGCAGATCCTCCTTTCACTGTCTCGCCACTCCTGCACTTTTCGATTTTCATTACTTGCATGCTGCATTACTTCATGCAACATGTCTTTCTTGCTTCTACGTGGCATCTTTCTGATTCTTTGGAGTCTTTCGGCCGGTGATAACACGGACAGCTGAGATCTCAAGGTTGCATCTGTAAAGGCAAAATGCAACACTTAACAGAGGCAGCATTGTTCACACCAGACAGAGCAATGATTGCCCCATATTTAAGGGCAAGCACAGTCAACACAATACCATAATTTGCCTGTCCCAAAGTGAGCGCACATAACCCACGGGAGCCCCAAAATGGTAAGTAAGCACAGGGTCAAGCATGACTGATTGTTTCACAGCTGTACTGTCCTCTGGGTTTCTGTGCCTTGGGGAGAGCCAACAGCAGCAGGGGACCCCTATACTGAACACTGTCCCCACATTTTCCACAGGAGTTCGTCCTGGAAGATATCTCGCTGCTGAGGGTGACCTGGGAAGCAAGGGAGGGTCTTCTACTGCAATATGGATTCTGCCCTGGCCCATATGCAGCTTGCCTGTGTGCAGCAATGGTCCCCCTGCCCCCACAGCACAGTGGCGTGGACAAGTTAGCCTTACGGGGACAAGGACCACAGTGGCTCTCCCAAGAAACCTGCACCAGCGCATTGCCCAAGTTCTGGATGAGACCTTTGAAGAGATCACTGAGGCTGATTACCATCAACGCCCTATTCCGCATCTAGGCATGCATGCAGCCCTAACCCTCCTCGCCCCAAGAGCCCGCACCGAATAACTTCCTTCCCAAAATAAAAGCTGCTTACCGGGAACCTCCTCTGGTATTTGTCCTTTCCGAGGCACCAGCTGCCACGACTGGCTACCTTCCTCCTGGTTTGAGAACAGCTCCTGGCTGCATGCATCTAGGGATTCCAGGGTGTCTTCCTCCGCCGGAGTACCCTCGCTCCCACTTTGCTCCTCCTCCTGCCTTGTTGAACTGGGCTCTGAAGTGTCCATGGTGGTACTCGGAGTGGAGGTGGGGTTGCCCCCAAGTATTCTGTCCAGCTCTGTGTAGAAACAGCAGGTCACAGGGGCAGCACCAGAGTGGCTGTTTGCCTCGCAGGCTTTGCGGTAGGCATTCCGCAGCACCTTCACTTTAATCCTGCACTGCAGTGCGTCCCGGTCATGGCCCCTTTCCAGCATGTCCCTTGATATCTGCCCGAAGGTATGGTAATTCCTATGGCTGGTGCGCAGCTGTGACTGGACAGCTTCCTCCCCCCAAACGCTGATGAGGTCAAGCACCTCACCATTGCTCCATACTGGGGATCGCCTGGTGCATGGAGGCATGGTCACCTGGAACGTTTTGCTGAGAGCACTCCACGCCTGGTTGAGCGAACAGGAAGGGGATTTTCGAAATTCCCAGAGAATTTAAAGGTGGGGTCTGACGGTTAGTCACCTGAGGACAGGGCAGTAGAGTTCAAAGTGATGACCAGAGTGGCTAGAAGAGGCATTTGGGGGCACTTCTGGAGGCCGATAAGAGCTCAGTAACAGACCAGGGTGTCCACAGTGGTGCCGCAGCGCTCCAGTGGGGGCGCAGCAAACGTTATTCCACTCGCCGAGGTGGAGTACCAGGAGCGGACCAGCTGCAGAGTCAGAGCGCTCTACGTGCCTTGCCAGTGTGGATGGGTAGTGAGCTAGTGTGCCCAGGGCTCCTTTAATGTGCTATAACTCACAAGTGTAGCCAACCCCTAACAAATTTATTTGAGCATAAGCTTTCGTGGGCTAAAACCCACTTCATTGGATACAGGCAGTGGAAAATACTGTAGGAAGATATATATAGAGAGAGAGACACAGAGAACATGAAAAAATGGGGGTTTCCGTACCAGCTCTAACGAGAGTAATCAATTAAGGTGGGCTATTATCAGCAGGAGAAAAGAAAATGTTTGTAGTGATAATCAGGATGACCCATTTCAAACAGTTGACAAGAAGGTGTGAGTAACAGTAGGAGGAAAATTAGCATGGGGAAATAGTTTTTAGTTTATGTAATGACTCATCCACTCCCAGTCTTTATTCAAGCCTAATTTAATGGTGTCCAGTTTGCAAATTAAATACAGTTCTGCAGTTTCTCGTTGGAGTCTGGTTTGGAAGTTTTTTTGTTGAATAATTGTGACTTTTAGGTCTGAAACTGAGTGACCAGGGAGGTTGAAGTGTTCTCCAACTGGTTTTTGAATGTTATAATTCTTGACATCTGATTTGCGTCCATTTATTCTTTTGCGTAGAGACTGTCTGGTTTGGCCAATGTACATGGCAGAGGGGCATTGCTGGCACATAATGGCATACAGCACATTGGTAGATGTGCAGGTGAATGAGCCTCTGATAGTGTGGCTGATGTGATTAGGTCCTATGATGGTGTCCCTTGAATAGATATGTGGACAGAGTTGGCAACGGGCTTTGTTGCAAGGATAGTTCTTGGGTTAATGTTTTTGTTGTGTGGTGTGTGGGTGCTGGTGAGTATTTGCTTCAGGCTGGGGGGCTGTCTCTCTAATATCCTGCGACCAACACAGCAACAACAACACTACGAACAAAGATAGTGTGGGATGATGTCAAGTTACTGATAAGTATTAAGATGTGGGAGGATATCTACTGGCTCCTACCTGGGCAGACATGCGAAACCCACGAGAAAAAAAAGCAGAAATTGGGCTTGTTTTTGGCTTAATTGGCTTGTGAGTTGCTTGCTGGCTAGTTTTTGGCTTGTAGCTTGTTGCTTGTTGTAGCTTGTTGCTTCTTTTTTTTATCGACTCTTGGGAAGCAGGGGCAAGGGGCAAGCAGGGGCAAGGGGGGGAGAGAGTCAGAGGTGCACAACAGGCCCACCACAGTCCCAGACTGCATGCCAGGGGGATCTATTCACATAGAGCGTTGGGATTCTTGGGGACTGGTTTGTTTTGGCCTTGTTTTGAAATGGGATTAGCTTGATTTTTGGCTTCTTTTTGACACTAAACTGGAAGGAGTGGTAGATACCCTGGAGGGTAGGGTTAGGATACAGAGGGACCTAGACACATTAGATGATTGCGCCAAAAGAAATCTGATGAGGTTCAACAAATACAAGTGCAGAGTCCTGCACTTAGGATGGAAGAATCCCATGCACTGCTACAGACTAGGGACCAAATGGCTAGGCAGCAGTTCTGCAGAAAAAGAGTTACAGTGGACGAGAAGCTTGATATGAGTCAACGGTGTGCCCTTGTTGCCAAGAAGGCCAATGGCATTTTGGGCTGTATAAGTAGGAGCATTGCCAGCAGATCAAGGGACATGATCGTTCCCCTCTATTTGACATTGGTGAGGCCTCATCTGGACTACTGTGTCCAGTTTGGGGCCCCACACTACAAGAAGGATGTGGAAAAATTGGAAAGCATCCAGCAGAGGGCAACAAAAATTATTAGGGGACTGGAATACATGATTTATGAGGAGAGGCTGAGAGAACTGGGATTGTTTAGTCTGCAGAAGAGAAGACTGAGGGGGGATTTGATAGCTGCTTTCAACTACCTGAAAGGGGTTCCAAAGAGGATGGATCTAGACTGTTCTCAGTGGTAGCTGATGACAGAACAAGGAGTAATGGTCTCAAGTTGCAGTGGGGGAGGTTTAGGTTGGATATTAGGAAAAACTTTTTCACTCGGAGGGTGGTGAAGCACTGGAATGCGTTACCTAGGGAGGTGGTGGAATCTCCTTCCTTTGAGGTTTTTAAGGTCAGGCTGGGATGATTTAGTTGGGGTTGGTCCTACTTTGAGCAGGAGGTTGGACTAGATGACCTCCTGAGGTCCCTTCCAACCCTGATATTCTATGATTCTATTGTGAAAGTTGGGGTACTTATTTACCGCATGAAAGTTGGCAACTGTGCCTGGGACATGATCTCATGAAAGTAGATGATAGCACTGCCATCTGGTGGCAAACTGTGGAAGCCACTTCCCCACTCCTTTGCCTACCTGCTGTAGGTAGTGGTAGTCTCTCCTGCTAGGACCTATTGCATTTGAGTTTTGCATTTAAGATGATCTGGGTATTTTATTTTTATATTTATAAACAGTCGGAGGGGGAAGCACCTTGGTCAGATAAATAACTGTATTAAAAGGACATAATGTTCCCATATAGTAGAACCTCAGCATTCCGAACACTAGCGTTACGAACTGACCAATTAACCACATACCTCATTTGGAACTGGAAGTATGCAATCAGGCAGTAGCAGACACCAAAAAAAAAGCAGGGGAAAGGAAATACGGTACAGTACTGTGTTAAATGTAAACTACCAAAATAAAAGGGAAAGCAGCATAGTAAAATTTCAAAGCTGTATTAAGTCAATGTTCAGTTGTAAACTTTTGAAAGAACAACCATAATATTTTGTTCAGAGTTACGAACATTTCAGAGTTACGAACATCCTCCATTCCTGAGGTGTTCGTAATTTTGAGGTTCTGCTGTATTTGTTCCCCCCTCATGGCTGAAGACCTTCAAGAACAGGGGTCGCAAACACGCGGCCCATGGGCAGCATGCAGCGCACAGAGTTATTTCCTGTGGCCCACCATAGCTCCCCTCACTCCCAAGTGGTTAGTCAAACTTTAGGGTCCTGTGGATTGATTCTGTGAGGAGGAGAAATTAATGATGGAACCAGGTATCTTTGGAGCAATCCTATTATTTACTATGCATATATGAAGTCCTGTTTCCCTGAATGCAGGAGGAATCAAACAGGAGAGTTTCTTTGCTCACAGTTCCAAGCCTCTTTCAGACAGCACTCAGCCCCAAAAGCTCTCTAGGCTTTTCTTAAGACCATGCTCTCAGTGCTTGTTCAGGTTGTATCCTTGGCTTTCAGCTCCTTTTCTGTCTCTGTTCTGTGGTGTTTTCTTGTTGCCATCTTCTCCCCACCCCACTCCCAACTAAAACAATGCCCAGCCAAGCCCATCTGCCCACAGAGTTCAAATTCATGAGTGGCCTCTTGTGTCCCTTTGTCTGGGAGTCCCTACTATTTCAACTATGTGGTTCCATAAAGGAGTTTAGTGGCTTCTTACAATGATCTTAAATGAAGGGCAGTGATTATGCTCCCCGGTTTCAACATGGTTTAATCCAGCCAGTAACAAAAGGAAAGTTAAGTTCCTAAAGCCCTACCAGGCACATAAATAAGAGACCTGATTTCCAAAAGGGCTGAACACCAGAAGGCTCTCAGTTAGGCTGACTGGAGCTGCTGACACAGGTCAAACCACACTCCTGAGTTAGAAGGTCTGTGGAGTGCAGCATGGCACGTTAGCACGGCGGTTGGAAGCCCAGGTTTACATTCAATGTGGATGCTCGCGTACAGGTGTGGAAACACCAGGTCCACATGCCTGGGTCCCACAGACCCAGGTTTACAAAGCAGTTTAGACATATCCAGTGTCTCTGCTATAGTGACTTAGCTGCAGGTGTAGAGCCTGTAGTGTAGATGTACCCTAAGTGACAGTCTGTTCCCCACCAGTGAAATTCCTGAAACCATAGCAACAAAGGTAGCCATCCTTCTCAAGGATTTCCACAATCTTTTTTTGTGAATGAAGTTGTCTACCTCAACCTGCTTCTTGTTTTATGGTCCAGTGGATGATGGGCTGGAGAGGTCATAGCAGTAGAGCTGATGAAAAATGTTATCACCTGAAATGATATGAAGTTAATAATATATATACAGCATGCTCATCTTAATTGGGACCACCAGTTCCATAGGGACATCTCCCAGCAAGGAATCAATTTAACATAAAAGAGAATGGCAAATACTGCTACATAAATAGCATCGGTTCTGCCTAATGGAGATGAATTTGGGCTGTGCCAAGAGCTTAAGTGGTGTTTAAACAGGTGTTAAATAGAAGTGAAATCCTAAGAGCAAGTCCTGTCCCTCCCCAGCCCGGCAGGGACTAGAGGGTAGCAGTCCCTGGCTGGGGAGCTCCCAGCAGCACAGGGGAGATCAGACCTACCTCCACCTCCGGGAACCTCCTTCAGCTACACGAAGCTCTGAAGGCAGCACAGAAATGAGGGTGGCAACCCCCTGACTCCCCTACATCAGGTTTGCCACCACACCACTCCACAACTCATATCAAAATGACTGATGGTGTTTTGCTAAAGAGCTGGGTGCTGGGACACTGAACCAGTGCAAATGAAACTGAAACTGTTTGTGAACAGTCAGCAAATTGGCACCTTTGTGCAAAGAAGCCCACTCAGTGATGGGCAAGGATGGGGCTGTGAACTTTGTACTCCACTGTCAAGAATTTGTGATCTGTTAACATATTGTTTCTTTGAGCTGGCAAACAAGTCACAGTGGGCCAGATTCACCTCTGGTTTAACATCACTGACTTCAGTGGAGTTACTCTAAGTATGGATTTGGCCCATTAAGTATAGATGTTAATGATGTTTTCATATGACCTTTTGGTATTTACGAGTTGGAAGCTCAGTAACTGAATTAGAGGTGGGCTCTAACCACCAAATTCAGACTCTCATCTGGATTTTAAACACATCAAAATAATGGGGCGGGGGTTGGATGCACAGTTTTGGTTCTGTTCACAAGACAGGACTATTTGGATCTGGATCCAGATTTAGATACACCCAAAGTTCAGGGGTTAGTAATGGGGCATTTGGTTCAAACCCAGCTCTGGTAAGAATGCTTACCTGAGTTGTAATTCTTATGTTAATCTTCCTGCTAATAAGCCAGGGTGGCATTCACAAAGGTTGGAACAGGAAACCAGCCACAGGAATGAAAAATTTCAGAGTAACAGCCGTGTTAGTCTGTATTCGCAAAAAGAAAAGGAGTACTTGTGGCACCTTAGAGACTAACCAATTTATTTGAGCATAAGCAGTTACCTGGTTAGTAACACAGGAACTTGTATACAGACTTCTGTACTGTTTGATTCCTCTCTGACACTAAGCTCTCACACAGCATCATCCGTGAGTAGTGCTCTCTCTCATCTCTGGTTGGTTAGGAGGCTGTGTTCTATGTTGGTCCATGATGATCTGGCCTCGGTTATGTCTGCCTTCACCACCTCTCAGCTGCACTACAGCTGGCGGCGGCAGTGATCCCTCGGATTTTGAGGATAATTGTCTTCCATAAAATGATAGCCAGTTATAGCTGGTAGATCCACAGGTGGCTAATGAGACCGACCCAAGATCCACAGATCTTATCACAGCTGGGGCAGACATTCTCAGTGGGACGGGTGCATCTGGATTGGTCAGTCAGGCTGCAGGGCGTTCTTTCCCCCTTTCCTGTTTCCTGGTGTCTACGTTGGATCGCAAAATACCGGGATCCTCGCCACATGGTCCTTTCCCATTTTTGTTGGTCATGGGCTTGGGTTTCCCATGAGTTTGTCAATATTGCATTTCTTCCTTTTGGCTTTGAGGGTATCTTTGAAGCACTTTTTTGCCCCTCCTCCGTTGGACATGACTCAATTTTGAGAACAACAGCTGTAAGCAGGGTCTAAATGAGCTCTGCCCTGACAGCAAGTGATGCACTAGGGGAAAAGATTTCAGGAGCAGACTGTGTTTGCATAGACATGCTGACCCTGCCTAGGTGCACAGCAAGATGAAGCTGCTTTGCCTAAATGATCCATTTTGACTGGTTTGGGTTTCAAATCACTTTAGTATTCGAATGCAGAGGTAATGAAATGTGGTTATCTTTATTGTATGAGTACAGAACTGTGCTTAGCCTGTCCTGACTGAGGGGGTGACCCTAACCTGAACCTCACTTGCTAAGCATGAGGTGAGGATGCTAAATCCTAGCAAAGATGAGTGGGTGGGATGGGGTGAGTAGCTGTGTTGGGTAGTGTGGACTTTGCCCAACAAGTCATAGAGATCATTTGTGCTGCTTCTCTCCAGCATTTAATGGCAGAGATGATTAAATTGAGAGTCCTTATTTCTGGTTGGTGATTCGTAGAGTTGACATTAATGCTGAGCAGATCTAGGAGCTAAGCCTTGTGACAGAAAACACAGAGATTGCACTGACAGTGAGGTCCCCCACTCCCTGCTGAAATCACTAAGAGCTGGGTTAAGTGGGGCAACCTCAGAACATGATGCTGGGGGAACAGCAAGCAGTGGTGGTTAG